AAAAAAAAAAACTATTAGAACATAATAGACTGATATAACTAACTGTATTTCGCAGCCTAAAAGAGTTTTTGTTCAGAAAAAACTAAGAAACTCCTATTTACAAAAATATACTTTTCCTGTTGATGCGCAAAACTGTGCAGAAAGCTTCAAGAGTACTGTAGCTGATTATATATCGAAAGATTTCATCATTTTTGCAACATAATCGTGAGGCTTTAATAATTTCTATGTAGGGATAAGCACAGTCTAAGCCAGCAGAGTTTCTTATTACCTTGAAATGCAGTTTGGTTGCTTCTAAAACTTTCGTGGTACAAGCAAAGCAGTAACTGTTTAATTTGGTAAAGCATAAACAATGTAGCATTGACTACTAAAAAACTACTATTGGAGAAGCGGTATTTTAAGTGAAGCAGTTGGAACAAAGATTCTTCAACTGGCTCTTTGCAGATGTTACTTGTGCACTTATTTTTATAAATCTAAAAAACAAATTAAAAATTATAGTTGTTATTGCCCTAATCAGCTTTAATAACAGCTTGCATTCTCCATGAGTAATTTCCAACGACAATTATTGATGTTTTTACCTCTTTAACTTTCCAAAAAATAATTTTAACATCTGTTCATTTGCATAAAAAACAAGCCTTCTTTGCGACTTTGTTTATTTTTTTTTACTTTTTATTTGCTCTTTTTTTGTAACTTTATATAAATCAGACTCCAGGGTTATTATTATTATACATTTACTAGTAACATAGTACGACTTTGCCCAATTAGCAAAAATGATAAATTAAATAGTCTAATTCTTATTTCTTGATGCTGCTGCAGGCACTACAAGAAGCCATTTTTCATTTTTTGCTACAAAGCTCACAACGCTAAGCACTCCAAATGATACAAAACAGTGATGTGGCAAAAAGTTGGTATAAAACTAGCTACAAATGATGGATTCAACGAAGAGAACTTGTTATTTTCCTGCATACTCTTTTTTTTTCATACTGAACAATCTACCGTCAGAGAGCTTAGTAGTGTACTGTACAACCCTCTCAGAACTATTCAGTAAAGACGCCTGATACATATCATGACTTTCATCCAGCTTAAGGCTCTTAATAAAATCAGAAACGAGTATATGTTCTGGCAGTTGCGTCCTACAAGCACTTTCTTACAACAGTGTGAGTGTGAAAATAGCTGACAGTAGAGCATTGGCAAATACAATACCTGTGATCTAATCAGATCAAAAATTTCTGCTTTATAGCTTAAAATATCTTATTCTCTTCATTTTTATTGAAATGTTTATCAGGGGTTGATTGCGGTCCTCTTGAAGACTGGTCTAATGGGACGGTTCTTCTACTAAATGGTACAACAACTTTTGGATCTCTTGCTGAATACAGGTGTAAAAAAGGAATGGTTATAAGTGAATCATCACCATCATATCGAGTATGCGAATTTGATTCGCGCTGGTCATCAGTGATACCTTTCTGTACTGGTAAGTAAAAATATAGCTAATGCGACTTAAAATGTCTTAAGCTTCTAATTTGTCTCATCAGCTCTACATTCCACTAAAAGATAAGACGATTTAATCATAGTATGGCTCAAAAATTATAGATAACAAGCTTATTGCTTTTACGTTGCTTTTACGTCTTAAATTGTTATTTTAGATATCGACTGTGGAAAGCCTCCAGAACTCAGTAATGGAAAAGTTGATTTTGAAGGAACTACTCAGAACAGCACAGCAACTTACAGCTGCAACAATAATTTTAAACTTATTGGTCATAAAAAAATTTATTGTTCTGAAAATGGTCAATGGCAACCTTCATCACCTGTTTGTTACGGTAGTCTATTTCTCTAATTAAATTTTTAAAAATACTCATTACGCACTAAAGTGATATACTGCAGTAGTTACTGTTTAGATTTGGAAACTCTGCGAGAAATGAAAGAATCTTCTGGGGAAAGTAACGTCATACTTGCTATTGTAGTTGTCCTGCTGTTACTGCTACTTGCTTTCCTATCATTTCGGCTGACTCGTCGAGGTTTTTCCCCGTTAGCAATACATACTTTCAATGAAGGTAAACGAACCTCTCCAAGACCTTTGGTTTATTCGACACCATCACAACAGCAAGATTCCGTAATTTATTACGCATCCACTGGCGCTTCAATGACGCATGTTGAAGTTCCGCCTGAACTTCTTCAATTACACCAGTTATCTAACGGTAACATCCATATTACGTTGCCAAGTCTGAAACCAATTGTCAGACCTGCTTTATCATTGTCAATGACCCAGCCAATTGAAGTTGCTGAAAACAATTCAAGAAATGTTCCTGAAACCTCAACAAGTCCAACACCTTCTCAGCTATTGTATTCGTTTGATGATGATCCTGTGTACGATTCGCCTTCTGAAGACAATGTTTACGAAGAACTATCTCAGGCTCATGATGTAAAATAATGTATCTTCCAGACACATATTTTTATGCACCCGTTTTTCATAACAATTCGCTGTTGGATACAAATTGTTTTTGTCTACTTTATTAGTAATTTCGATCTTTTTAAGAAATTGTCAGACAGTCTTCCGTTATGGCGTTAAGTGGTCTGACTAATAAGTACTATGCAATTAAACAAAGTCAGGAAACTGTAGTGTTGTAGGTAGTTACTGCTTTATTCACTTGGTACTTCTAAAACAAGAAATCTTTGACCGGAATAAGAAGACCTAAAAAAAGTTTAATTTTATTATTGATTATTAAGCAAAGTCTTCAGTAAGTTGTCAAACTGAAGAGAAGATAAAAGTAGGACCGGAGTAACAAGCTAGTGCTGTACATCTATTTCAACAAAATAATAATATCTTTAGAAGAGCCATATCCTTTAGTGG